ATCAGTGCAAACGAGGTTTTACGCAGAGGTTTAGGGCTTAGCAGCTCCAACGCTCCTTTTGGATACTGCGGGGATGTGAAGGACCCAATCTGGGAGAAGTGGCTGGCCTTCGCTGAAGAGCACGAGTGCATGGCGTGGGACCCGAATGCATCCAACTGCAAGCTCTGTGCGGCCTGCAATTCAGGGGTCATTACACCTGCTCACGGCAGTGGGGGCTGGGCATGTGAATCTATCCCTAAACCCTAAACGCCTAAACCCTAAACCCTAAACCCTAAACCCCATTCGGATTATGGGTACCGACAAGCAATTGTAAGACAAGGAGTCTATCCTTTCTCCTCTGGACGCTGCCCTTCGCTTACTAGAACAACACATAAAGCTTCAGGGCTTCGGACTTTAGAATCCCTCATTGCAAACACGAGAAAGGCAAAAGGGAGAGTATCATGATGTTGCTCGTGATCATGTATGCTAGACTTGATGCGATACCCTAAACCCTAACCCCTAAACCCTAAACCCGAAACCAAAATTATAATGCTTCTACTGCTATGAATGCAGACCTCCGTCTGCTCGAAATCGGAAGCTGGAGGTCGAGGTCGTGGACATTGCTGATGAATTTCCACGGTGGTAAGTTTCGAAGTAGACTTTAGGCCCTAGACCCTAAACCCTAAACCCAAATTCAGGGTTTAAAGATTCCTGGTTTCCCCCGCGGTTCACTTTCACGTCCTAAGCCCGAAGGCTAAACATAGGAGTCTCAGTCATTCGTCATATCCGAGCCCTGTGTAGTCAATGTATAGTTTAGCTATGATACCACGATGCACGGGACAACTGGCCCAAAACCCTATTCTAATCATCAAACCCCAATACGAGCTGTACGGGGCGCATTGAGGTCAAAGACCTCCCGATGCCTTCGCCGCCCCCGTTTGCCGGCAAGGGCGTGCCGTTTGCATCGGCGCTTCTTGGCTGGTCAGCCGTTGCCCTGAGGAGTTGTTTCAGCAGATGTTCAACTGGGCATGAGTCACTTCACCGGAAGAGTGAGTTTATGCAAGCCGCTGTCGGGAATTCCAAAGAATCCCAAACAAGGACACCGACTGGATCAACAACGCTCAGACGTACATATGCATCATCAACATCATCATTAGCATTGTCAGCATCACCATAATCATCATCATCATCATCATCACCGTCACCATCATCATCATCATCAACACCATC